TTCAATGAACAATTATAATAAAATCACAAATTTTATATTTGCTTCAAAATCATACATACTATAATGAAAATTTATAACATTTTAAGAAACAATATCAATTTGCCATATATTTACATTTTAATTGGCCTCTCACTTCTATTGTTTTATACAAATATACAATGGAGTTTGCACCACCTTTTGTTTTAAGAATATTCAATATATTTGTGTATCTATATGAAATAATAAGTTATTTATTTTGTAATAGGTTTCAGCAAACAATGATGACGACGATGATGATGATTGGGACAAGTTTCAATCTGGAGCTAATAAAAAAGACAGAGTACTTGAGGGCAGAACTAAACAGTCACATTTGGTTCACTCCCCATATTTTCCTGAGGTATAAAAATTATCAACTAATTGATTATAATGTATTATATTAATTAACTAAATATATTCATAATTTAAATATCTTATTAGGAAAAACATGAATATTGGTGGGTTTATTTAAGTGATCGGAAAAGTCGTACATTATTGACTGTTCCATATCATGTCACTGAACTTGTTGATGAAGAAGAAATTCAATTAAAATTTACAGCTCCTAGATGGCCTGGAGTTTATGTATTTGCCGTTTGTCTTAGGTCAGATTCATACTTTGGTTTTGACCAAATGCATGACATCAAAGTAAGTGCTATTTTACAGTGTATATTAACATTTTTAGTTTCAAGAATATATAAAAATATATATTTATAATTAATGAAATAATTTTTATTAATACTTGTATTATTTGTATTTACTATTTACTATTTAGACATTTTGTCAATGTAACTATAAAACTACATTTGTTTTCACGAAAAGTGGCATGCCTGGTAGACGTTTTGACATTTTAAACATGCTATGTTTTTGTGTAGAGCTATCGGCTAATACTAAGAACGACTATACTTCAGTATTAGCATTACCAGCTGTTCCACTTTTTATGCAAACAACTGTAGTACAGTCCGCTAGAAATTTAAAAAAAATTCAATATTTAGAAACTCTTCATCACGAGTACTCTAATGCTTAATTGAAAAAACAAATTTAGATATTTTTATATTTTTGGTAGAAAATACATATAAATCATGATTGAAACTACATTTTCAAATAATTTCTCCAGCAATTTTTAATATTGGATGATATAATATAATGTCTTAATATCTTACTAAATCTTGACAGATCCTTTGAATTTTTTGGTTAACAATTATTGTAGTATCCAAATCTGTAAATACTTTCCATAAGATGACACAAGGGCTGTTCGATTATTTTGATTAATCGATTATTACAATGATTTGTTTTTTCATAAATTATTTTACAGTTTTTATAAAATGCGATTAATCGCCAAATAATCGAAATTCGATTAATCAATTAATTGAAATTCCAATTAATCAAATAATCGAATTTCCGATTAATCCAATAAAAATAATATAAAATATAGTATATTATATTTATATAATATAAACGTAGACATCTACATCTACATGTTGTCCTTCAATTTTTGTTTAAAATTGTGTGGAAGGTAAATCTATTTACCTTTTTTATCAGCCATTAAAAAAATCGATTAATCTGTTGTAAAAATATCAATTTTTAGTTTGATTATTAATTTTCGATTAATCAAAATAATCTATTAATACGTGAAATTAATAATCGAGTGGTAAAAAAAAATAATTGTACAGCCCTAGATGACACTATACCCACATGGGTTGTCTATGTCTTACAAACACATATTGTGGACTAGTTCAGACTATGACTCACCTAATAAATTGCCCAAGCTGCCCAACTTGTTGTACAATGGTCAATGGACAAAATCATATCAATAACCAAAGACGGGATAGAAATTGCTAATTGTAGGCACTATACACTACACACTATCCGGAAACGCTATTAAACTAGACTGATACCATTTTTGACTTTGACTCAACATTTTATTGTATACACTACTCACTCTACCAATTTTATTCATATTAATATACAAGGTTGCTTGAATAAAAAAACAAACGTGCATATTGTATGTTCTGAATAATCTATTTAACCCCGATATGTTTAATATAAGAGCAAATTGAATTTACAATTTTAAAATTAAAATATAAAAAAAAAGTATGTGAGGCCACCAACTTCTTTCATAAGTATTGGAGCCTATTAAATTATTAGTGAATTATGGAGAGAGTTAGAAAGTTAATACAATAAAAATAAACGGGCCCGCCGCCACTGTGCATGACTTGAAAAATAAATAATTAAACAAAAATATGATTTTTTTCCACCCTCTCCTCAAGAAAGAAGTTTTACTTCAAAAACCTGCGAGGTTCACTATATACAATTCTGACCTATACGTTTGATTATAGGTTAATTTGTTCCGATATTAATCATAACAGAGTTAAATGGATAATAATTATCTGAATTATTCATTACAATATACAATTTGCCATGTTTCGCATTTGTAAGACGGAAACATTGCATGCGGGTGTAGTGTCCTCTTAAAGTACATGATTAATTTTCCCAAATTAAAAATATAACTGTTATACAATAAAAAAAAATATTTTTACAATTTTCTACATTATTATTTTTAGTTGGATGTAAAAGAAGCACCAGAACCTTTGACAGAACATCCACAGTGGGATATTTCTGATGAAGAAGATGACACTAAAGAAGAAGATAAGCAAAGTGATATTTCAGAGTTTACTACTGATGAAGATGTCGAAGATTAAATAATATAAAAGCTTTGGGTGACCTGACAAACAAAGAAGTTCAAAACAATAAGTAGAGTTTAAAGTAAGTAAAATAATATTGGTTAAGATAATATTATTTTTAAGGCTTTACATTTAAAGCAATAATTTTAAAAATATATTCATCTACAAATTAGTGTAATTATGCAATATTTTCAATATTAATGTTGTTTTACTATTCATAATATTATATTCAATGTTAAATTTAATTAAAAAATGAAATGCTTTTTTTATTTGACTGATAAAATATATTTTGTTTAAATCGATTATAAATATAATACATTTATATATTTAGTCTTCTGCCTTATTATTTTACCTACTTTTCACTTATGTAACAATATAACAAATAAATTAACATAAATTTTAATATTTTATTATTTGCCAAAACAGTATTTTAAATGTAAACATTATATTTGACTGTAAATATGTACCTATGCAAGTTATCTATACTATTTTTTGCTCAACAGTTAGGACTTCTAATCAAGTATCCATAATTTATAAATTATACTATATAAATGTACAACCAATTACATAGTTTAAAAAGCCCTAAAAAATAAATTATTTATTATAATTATCCAATCATTAACTTTCTACTGTAGCCTTTACAGACCATCCCCATTAATTTGCCTTCCTTGTAACCAGGGATGTGTGGCTGGAGTAACAGTTCATTGTTATCAGATCATAGGTAGTACTTTAAATTATTTAATATACTGGATACAATTTATTTTTGACACATCAGAAATTGTACAAGAAGGATACGCTACTGGTAAATGTCAACTTATAAAAGACTACAATAATAGAAGGCTATAATTAACATGTACAAAACGTTTGGAAATATTGTATTTTGCTATTCTTGTTTAAATCAATGACAATATACGTTACCAATTGTATGTGCTATATTTCTTATTTTATTGTTATTCCTATTCAAATTATTGTTTTTTTTTTTAACTTGAAATGTCACTTTTTCCTTCTTACTAATAAAAATTTATATGTAGTTAAATTTCTATAAAAAAAAATGGATCATCTCTCAAGGGCACAATTACAATTAAACTTTGTTTTTAAATGTATATTACTAAGAAGGCGTGATACTCGCATGTGTTGTCTCCGTCTTACAAGTGCATAACAGAAAAATGTACGCTCAGCAAAACACGTATAGCTCTGTTAATTTAAAAATTAGAGTAAATTAACCTCATATAAAATTTAAAAGTAAAATTATTATCTAGACAACCTCATGGGCTTTTTATAATATTTTAATTTTCAAGCTAGTTATGAGTACTTTAAGATCTATAAACAATTTACAATTTTAAAATACTCATAGCTTGCTTAAAAATTAAAATATAATAATAAGCTCATGAGGTTGTCTAGATAATAATCTTTTACCTTTAGATTTTATAAGAGGTCAATTCACTCTAATTTTTAAACTAATGGAGCTACAAGCGTAAAATTTGCTATGTTAAGCACTTGTAAAACGGAGACAACACATGCAGATATCACGTATTCTTAATGAGTTACTGTGTGAAATTGTATAATAATTTGTATAAAAAAAGAGAAGTAAATAGTTTCACTATTTCAATACTTAAATTGTTCTTAAGACACTTTCTGTGTATTTTTATTTGTATAACTATTATAATAACATATTGAAGGTGTGGCAAATTATTTTGACGCTACATGCCAAAAATTACCTTATTTTTTTTTCGAGTAGCCATTAAATTACAAAAGAGATACCTATTATGAGCATACGGCTATTTATTGGTCAATAATAACTATTCAATTTTAATAATTTTATATGTATATATATTAATATATACATTGTGATGTTATTTATTATTAAAAATAAAATTTTATTTATATAATATAAATATTTTAATGTTTTACATGCCATGAATTTGCAATCCTTCACCTATAATATGCGTATGCACAATATTCCACATTACACAGCAAAAGTAGACATAATTTGAACTTACACACTTTAGGATAACTGTCAATAATTATCAATGATAATAAACTATCATAAGAATCTTGTCTATGTATAAATTTAAAACTACTTTATAAAGAATACCATGAGCATAAGCAATATTTATATATTATAAATGCATTATGAGTAAACTATGACATAGTATATTTTATTGATATATGAGTAGAAAATAGAAAATATTATGTATTAAATTAAATTAAATTTTTAAAAGTACAATACTAGGAAATACTTATTATATTATCTTATTGATAAGTATTTAAATCTATGATGATAAATGTGGCTTAAACAATAAATTAACGACAGAAACTTGGAGGAATTCCATCATCCATCCTAGCACGCTTTCTCGCTTGCATACCGGAAAAAAATTCTTGCACGTCTTCCACTTTAACAACTTTATCCCCTTTAAAGCTGCCCAACCAGTCTCCTAGTTCTTCTTTGAACTGATTATACTCTGAAATATTATAAAATAAACTGATGAGACATGTTAATTTGACAATGTAGACATAAGAGGGACAGAGATACTAACGGTGAGCTAATTCCACTGCTGCCACTCTGTCCATAGATGATAATGCTTTGGAAAGACCATCTTCACTTTGTTTTTCCTTAGCTATCATTCTTTCACGGCTTTTGTTTTCATATGCCTGTAATGTATCTTGTTGATCGGTAATAAATGGAACGCCTTCTGTCTTATATAGTTCCTAAAAATATATGAAGGTTATAAAGTTATAATAAATTATGATTTTACATTTATCTATTTATCTTACAATACAATTAGAACATGTACAAAGTTCTTGACGCCAACCTTCTACCCAGAAAGAACTTCCGTTAATTTTCTTTGGGTATTTTGCATTTATCAATTTACAGTTTTCACCACTAGAAGTACCAGCTTTAGCATTGTCGGATGTCTAAAAAAAAAAAATTATTGACAAACATACATCTTTGTTATGTAATTTATCAAATAAAACCAGTCAATTAACATTATCAGTTTTTATAAAGATACTACATACCATGTCCTTGGATACAACATTTAAACCGTTTTCAACATTATCTAAAAATAAATACTTTGCGTAAGAATGAATTTTTTTATAATAGCTGTAAAAATTTACCTTCAGATTCTTTAACTGTATCCACAACATCGACATCCTAATAAAACAATTTTATTTTCAAATTAAAATGTAAAAATATTTTTAAAGAATAGCAATTTAATACTTAGTATTATAACCCTACTAAGTATTAACCACCATAAATTATTTTATTTTGGTATAAATTAATAACTATGTTAGAGTTAAAGAAAATTTAAATTAAATGATGATATATAACTACTAATGCGACAATTTTTTTTTTTTCAGAAGTCAACTATCATATGTCATCATCAACACTTGTATTTGTCTATGTGAAGTATGTCAGTTATAGCTGAGTAAAATTATTATTTTATAAACAGAAATTATAATAATTGTGAATTAAAAAAATGATTTAAAAACATACCTCAGATTCATCACCTTTTTCGATGTTCTGTACCGAATCATCAGTCACTGCAAAATAATATGTAATAATTTAATGTAAATAAATATTTAGTTTATAAGTGTGTTTCAAATTGTTTAAATGGTTGCTTATTTTGATATAATATATTATGATTTTTGGTACTGAAATAAATGGATTAACTAAGTGTATTTTTATCTATAGTTTGTTTATATACTATACCAATATAAAATTTATTAATATTTATTTATCAATTCTTAATCTGGTAGTTACTGAAAATAGTTAAATGAAAATCTGTTGCGCATACATAATTTAATTGACAAATAATAATGTAACTCAAATATTTATTAGAACTAGTAATACAAAGAAAATTAATAAATGTCTTAAGAGTATTTTTCAACATAAAGACATTGGTTCTATTTGTACAACTAAGAACGTATAAATTAAATTTTTTTTAATGTCTGCACCAGTTTCTGGTTCACATTTATAATTATACTTCAATAATTAACAAATATTTTAAATTTTAAATACTAAAACTAATAAATTCTTACCAATTAAATGGCTGTAAGCTGGTAAGAAACTTAATTTTGATGTACAGCCAGAACATATCATTTCAGAATAATCATCTGGATTCATATCTTTTGTACCCAAATGCTAATAAAAAATGTTGTTAATAGTTGAATCTATAAGTATTTAATTTTGATGAGTACCTTGCTATGATACCAATCTTCACAAACGATGCATTGTACCATTTCATCAGTATTTTCAGAATCGGGATACGGGCGTTGACAAATGCAGTATAAACCCTTAAAATTTTGGTTGTAAACATTGCGGTCATTTGCTTCAGGTTTCGACTAGTTAATAGATAGAAACAATTTTTTATAAACAATAAAATTAATATTTTGTACTAATTTATCAATTATTATACCATTAAATACCTAGTTAAAAATAAAAGTCAATAAAATTTAATGTTCAACCTGTATCAGCAAGATCAATTGTAATTTTTTTTTTAAATATTTTATTTCAACAAGAAAATTGTTTTAATATTGTATAATATAGAGTATTGTTCATTTAGAATAACAGTAACTAGTTCTATAAATGCATGAAAGAGGTCGTACGTGATTTAATCTCCCTTCCAACCAAAATAAAAATTACATCAGTCGGCAATGATCGTTTTTGATCAACGCAAACTAGACACATTTTGAGTTGGACAACTATCACAAATTCCACATCTCTAACTAATTAATAGATAACTCAAATAAAATATAGTTAATACAATACATAACTTATTAACTTTTTTATTTTTTTTTTATTGAACAAACATAATATATTTACAATCTGTATTTACAAGTGATACAATAAGTAAATGGGATGATTTTTGGTAAACAGGAGGGGGAAGTCACCCAGTGGCGGCACCCCGTATCTTATTAACTAAAGACAATACAATTCTGTTAAGACACTATATAATTCATGTACTAAATAATGTATTTACCGGTTCCAATTTACACTCTGATGTTAACTTATCACTTCCACAGTCACAACGATAATTCCTTAAGAAAAATAAAATAAAAATAAATTAATCAGTAATTACCAATTTTTAGGGCTGAGACTTCTTCCTGCATTTATTGTTTAAGAGGATGACGCACCCATTATGTTGTCTCCGTCTTATAGAAGTATTGCAAATTTTCGTTCAACAGTTTCAATAGTGTGCTATTAGTTTTGATATTAGAGTGAATTGACCTATTACACAATTTTAAGGTAAGAATATTATTTGTGTCCTATAGTTAATTTTTTAAAATATTTTAATTTTTAAGTGAATTACGAGACTTTTTAAATATTTATAACTCGCTTGATAGTTAAAACTTCTTCAAAAAACTAACGGGAGAACACAAATAATGTTCTTACCTTAAGTTTGATAATAGGTAAATTCATTTTAATATCAAAATTAACAGCACACTATTGAAACTGGTGAACAAAAATGTGCTATATTGTACGCGTGTAAGACGAAAAGAACATATACGGGTCTTCTTAAGAAAATACATACTAGTAAAATATTATACAATTTATATAAAACTTAAAATACCAAAGATAATATTTTAAAATTAAGAAATGAACAATAAAAAGTATAACGTAAAAAGGCACACCTTATTAAAATTTTCTTTCTTATGATAAAATCTTGTACATTAAGAGGATGTTTCACCCGCATTTGTTGTCTGTTTTACACACGTACAGCATAGCAAAATCTGTTTTGAGCGGGAAAGAACCGTAAAGGCTACAGTCATAACTAAGAAACTAAATTTTCCCCATATTAAAAGGAAAACTTTTGCTGTGCATTATCGTTTTAATTTTTTCGTTATTAAAGTTTAAAAAAAACAAATATTAATGATTTTAGAAAACAATAAGAACTCTTTTTGTATAAGTGATATCAAAAAAATAAAAACGATATTGCACAGCCAGTTTTCTTTTATATGTGGTGAAAATGTTGTTTCTTATGACTGTAGCCTACTCGATTCTTCCCCGGGCAAAACAATTTTTGTTATGCGGTACGTGTGTAAGACAGAGACAACAAATACGGGTGGAACATTCTCTTAAGATGGTTAAAACACATGCGGGTATAGCATTCTATTAAATAGGTAGTTTTTGATAAATACAAATTACTGTTGACTCAATGTTATATTAATAATTACATAATATACCTAACATATATAAGTAAAAAATGTGATTCACTAATTCATTTTTAAAAGGTATTAAATTTCTAAACCCATATTTACTATATCAGTGTATATCAGTTGTAAAAAATTTATATACTGTAGTGTACATGGCAAATGTTGTGTTTCCTCATTCTAAAAAGGGATTAAATATTTTAGCATAATTTAGTACTTGGTAATTTTAAATGAATGTAATCATATTATTTTAAGATGCTTTTGAAGTTTGAAATATAAATGAAAGATATGAGATGGGTAATAAACATATTGTGCAAATTGTACCTATACATAAGAGTATAACAAGTATTATCTACCTTTTTGTCCATAACTCAACCAAGTCATGGTCTTCATGGCATTCGTACATACAGGGCAAACATATAGCACCAGGCAACTTGTCTTTTTCAGTGCAAGTCAGACAAGCGTACAACGCTTGTCGGTTCATGTATCCCTGCAACAAGAAGGTTCAATTGAAACATATTCATTGCACGTTTCTACGGAGGGTCTACAAACCAAAGAGTAAGTGCAACTGTCGCTTTCGGACGCCTCGAGTATCAGATTGGCTTGTTCAATCTCAGCATTCTGATCGTTGATGTACTCGACAAGCCCGACCACCTGATCATCTTCGTTCTCGTTGAAAGAATTTCCCTCAGACTCGGACATGATTGGGAAACGATTGACTCGGACGAACACTCACGTCGATTATTGTGGAACAATGAAATATAACTAACAGCGGATGGCGATTAGCGAATATCGAGTATTAGAGTAGCGGCAAGATACAGTTATCCCAATCATGATAAGAACTATGTCATATCGTGGTACCAACCTTGAAAATAAAAATCCCGAAGTATTCTTTTTACTAGACAAAATATTATATTATATAATAAATAATTAAATAATAAATATTTTATATTAAATATTAATAACTAAATAATTGTTTAAAGGAAAATTATTATATAAATTTATATATATATTTTTTCTATTTTTAAAAGTGTAGGTAGTCATATTTTTAGCTAATTATTTAATATTTTATTTTATTGTGATATATATATTTCCTTTTGATTTGAAAGTTCATAATTTTTAAAATTATTGAAGTGTTTATTAGTACAATTGATCAGTCAAATGATTAATGAACCAATAGCTTTAGAAGCTTTCAATCAGATATACAATAAAGATGTAGTCATATGTGGTTGAATAGTAGATATTAAGCGACCTTGGCTATGTGCAAGTTCCATTTGACTTATTTTGAACAAAAGTGGTACAGAAAAGGTATTGTAAATTAAATGTCCAATATCATGTAAAGACAAACCAATAGTTGATTCTAATAAAAATATAAATGTAAAACACTTGGAATGGGATAAGAAAATATATTGATTTACCCCCATATACCGACCCCTTCCCATACCGTGATAATGAATAATGATATTAATATAATATTCTAATGTTATTATAAATATTATTTATATTATAATTTAAAAGTACCTATTAGCTATTTATAAACTTACAATGAATATAATATATAGGACGGACTACATTTCGTACAGTATCTAACCATGAGCCCAATTAAATTCCCATTCGGAATTTTTTTCAATATTTGACGTTGGTAACAAAACATGGGTACAGTTATCCCAATCGTGATAAGGAATATGTTTTGTTACCAACGTCAAATATTGAAAAAAATCGATGGTAGTTTTTTCTACGAAATACGGATCGGTATTCCGGCGTTCAGCGCTTTCAGTTACACAGGTCGCCACTAGTCTGTCAGTGGTCGGTTGTTATTCAGTATTCACTTGTAAATTGTCGTTACCGCTTACCACAAAATCGTATCTTGTTGGCGCGCTCGCGTACAGGCGTCAGGGGTACACGAATAATATTGTTCTGTGGTGTTACAGTGTTTGTAAGCTGTGGAGCTAAATGTTGTTTATACAACATATTATTTTTATATTATCATTTATCTCTATTGTTGTGTCACTATCACGAAGAATACGTGTTTTTGATAAGTTTGTCTTATCATTATATCTGTGATAGTAAAAATCATGGCTAAAAATTAAATAGTTAAAAACTGGGAACAGTGAGAACTCAATAAAGGAACTATATTATAGGAAGCTATTCATTTCCTATTAGGCGATTAGTAAAATTAACTTGGATACTGTTTAACAACTTAGGAATTTAAATACTCAATAGAATTTTGATCTTCTGTCATTATTATTGACATTGATAAAGCAAATATTTGAATGAAATTCCCTAGCAGGTAAAAAATTTTGGAAATATTACGAATATACTTGTAGATGTAGTTTGATAACAAATAGAAAGTACATTTATACTGCGAATTAATGCCAGTGTCTTCCGTGTACGTCAAATTAAGCTCGTACTACGAAGTTCATGATGTATTTCAATTGTGGTAACAATAAATAACTTAACTATATATTTTCTTTTTACTATTTTAGTGTATCATATTATTTAAATGACTACTCGAAGAAGACGAGGGAATTCTGATTCAGATCAAACGTTTACAAATAATTATACCACTCAGGAGTCTTCTGTTGTTTATTCAAGAGAAAAAGAAACGGGCAAAATAATGCCACGAGACCGCACTGCTGAATTCAATAGTGCAGTCAGATCCCTTCAAGGTCGACAAATAGCAAGAGCTGTGCAAGTTCGAGATGTAAAAAAAGTAAAAGCTCTTCAGAGCTATGGAGAGTTTATGATGATAGCCAAAAGTGTTGGTTTCAACATTAGTAATACATATGCAAAATTAGAAAAATTGACGTTACGTAAGTTTTTAATTAATTACATTTTACAATCATGTTAGGAAGTTCTTATTTTATTGGCTGGTACTTTGATGAAAGTTAAAAACTAAAAATCCAATATATCTACCTACCTATGTTGTTTTATTGTTTTATTTTATATATCTGATTCCATAATTCAAAGTCTTAAGAACTAAAATTATGAAATAACTGGTTACACCTATGTATATTTTTGTTTTGTCAGTTTATAGCCTGCAAATATAAACCTTATTGTAGAACTAATTTGTATTATGTTGTTATAAAAATGTTAAGGATTATTGCGCAAACAGACAGCAGTGATTTCCTGTATCTACTAAGTTCTTTCCACACCATGAGTCATACTTTTAACTTTGCATTACAATTTACAAACTAGAATCTAGGTGATTAATTGTATTGTTGTTTTTTTATCAACATGATTATGTTTAAATATTAAGTAGTACTTGTACAGTTGTACTGTAAATCTTAGTAGCACATGCTAAATTGTCTCTATAGACTGCAGTACACTCAAATTATATAAAAACAGTATAATAGGATGACAATAATTCAGAAATTTCGAAGTTGTTGTTTTTTAATTGAAGCATTAAAAAAATACAAATTTAGGTGGATAAGGGTAAACCTAATTTTAAAAACGTCTATCTTATTGCTGCTAATAATTGTTAACCAAAATTTGATGTATGAATATTTTTTAACGAACAATACTGTAATGTGTGTTGTACCTATGTAAATTATTAAACTATTATTAACTAAACATAATATTTAGTTGCCAAACGGAAATCGTTATTTAATGATAGACCTCAAGAAATTCAAGAGTTGACATATATTATTAAAGAGGATTTGAATAGCTTAAATCAACAAATTGCAAAATTACAAGATGTTGCTAAACTGCAAAAAGCTACTCAGAATAATGTTGGACGAAAACATTTGTTGTCTCATGAGTCTAGTGTTGTATTATCACTACAATCAAAATTGGCAAATATATCAAATGAATTTAAACTAGTTCTTGAAATTAGAACAAAAGTAAGTTTTTGTTTATAAGATATTATTTAAATTTAATTTGTTTTATGAAGTTCCTTTTAGACTATTAAATATTGAATTCCTTTCAATTATATCTCCTCAAATTAGATTCTATCCCTTTCTTTCATATTTTTGTAAATTTAATGTGTAGTGATTATACTAAAAATATAAATATATTTGGTTTAGAATTTAAAACATGCCAAAACAAGAAGAGATCAATTTTCTCAAGGAAATAATTTAGCTGCATTATCAGATTCATCATCCCTAGTTCCAAGACACAATTCTCTTCTAATGTCTAGTAATCAATGTGCTATCAACATGGATAATAATGCTGATCAAGATCGACTACAGCAAGTCACACAACAGACACAAGCATTGGCGGTCTATGATAATACTGTATGAACAAATTTCTATATAGACAATTAAGTTTAATATCAAAATAATATGATTACATATAATGATAGTATAAAATCATAACTCATAAGTAATAACTATGATCATATTCATTTGATATTTTCTAACTAAAAAAATATGGTTTATATCATTAATTTTTTTTTAGGATCAATATTTGTATAGTAGAGCAGAAACCATGCAAAATATTGAATCAACTATTGTAGAATTGGGTGGAATATTTCAACAACTTGCACATATGGTTAAAGAACAAGAAGAAATGGTTGAGAGGTATACAATAATTAATAAATATAATCAAACAGATACGTGTTTTTTAGCATTGTAATATTGAAAAAAACACTTAAGTATTTTGTTGTTTCCAGAATCGATTCCAATGTTCAAGATGCTGAACTGAGTATTGAAGCAGCTCATACTCAAATTTTACGTTACTTTCAATCAGTTACTTCTAATCGATGGTTAATGATAAAAATATTTGGTATTTTAATATTTTTTTTTATATTTTTTGTTGTATTTGTTTCTTAAACATGCATATCTACTCTTTTTGTTCATATCTAGACAAATTGTTATTAATCCATACACTGTTGTCCAATTATAAAATTATGAAATATCTGTAAAATAAATAATAATACTATATAATATATAACCTTATTACATTTTATTATTACACATTTGTTAATTATTTGTTATAATATTACTTGAAAGTATTTTAAATTTAAATACATTTTTATCTCATATATTATATTATCATGTATGTAATTAATTATATTAAATGCCTTATATTTGACAATTTCACTCAGAATTTAATTTATGTAGCTATTATTCAAAAAAGCATTTATTTTAGGGGATTGCAAACAGACAGTTTTTAAGGGGTTCAAAATACGCAATTGCATGCATACAGATCTTGTAAATGTGTGTGTAGTAAGTGATAATTAGTGTGTGTGACTTTTAAATAAAATAGTGGAGCATTCCCACATGTACAACTCACTTTCCGGCTAACAACAGTAAATAATTTATAAGATATACCTTAGTCTGTGGTCTATGCTCTTCTCGTCAATCCTATCGATGGACCTGATAACGTGATAAGACTTCTGAAAACTGATTTGAATTCTTTATTATGTCTACTTGAGATCAATCAGGCCACATTTTAAGATATTTATTCTTGATTAAAATAATTGTCCGTTTGCAATGCCCTTAATAAAAGCTTAAGAAATACAAAAAATAAATAAAACTTATGTATTGAGATAAAAAAAAAAAAAAAAACAATCACTATTTAGTTAATTATTTAATATTCATATTTAGTTAAATTATTTTGATTAAAATGTAGGTTATTGGGTGTTAATATATTTTACATTCTGAGTAGAATGAATGTAATTAATTAATTAATTTACAATTGCAATACTATAACGCCTTATCAGTGATTTTAAGCCCTTATCCATCAGACAATCAGGTTTTAATTATAATTGAAACTACGATGTTCCGATGCATCAACGCATTTGATGCTCTGAATTTCAGAACGCCATAACTTGAAAATACGATGAATTTTAGAACATGTTTTATCGTTTCGATGGCAATACATATCCACAGCGTTGCATTACTGAAGGCGCAATTAGATTAAAAATATTAAGTTAAGAACATTACATGCGTCTCTACGTTGGCTACTTGATGATTTTTTAATTATTATTTAAGTTATGATTTATGAATGTGTAAATAATTACAATTTAAAAATGCTTATAAACTATTAGACAAATCCAAAGACACATAAGAAAAAAAATAAAGACTAGTCTACTAAAAAATAAAAATGAATTCAACAGTGAAAGGGTTAAAATATTAAAGTGTGATAAAAGGTTAATTCAATCTAATATTAAAAGTAACAACACTAACCCAGTGATTTCTAGCGTACGGGCAATTAGTCAAAAAAATTAAAATAGTTCATTAACATTTTTTAAACTTATCAGTTGTATGTTATATTGTCACTAATCATATAAGTAACTATTTTTTGTTTTTAATAATATTTAAATTATGTACAAGAACAATTAATTAAAATTTCTTAAAATTATATAATATATTCATTATTCAACATATTAAACAAATTCTATTTTGTTTAAAAAAGTAAAGAAAATATATATTTTTTTGGTATTAAATTTTAAACAGTAAGGCAAAGAAAATTAGTGATAGGGAGTTTAGGTTGGCCTATTGGCTATAAATTATTTATAAATATATGTTTGTGCCCTTTTTTTTTTTTAAATCCTTGAACCGGATCTGGTTGATTCTGCTAAATATTAATATGATTGTGCGTGGGTGCCAGTGTTGTAAAGTATTTGAGTAAAAGTATTCAAATAATTTTTTCCGTATTGAATACTTTTTTAAATACTTCTTATTTTAAAGTATTTTAATGGTATTTGAAATACTTTTTTTTACTATTGAATACTTATTTTTTATTCTTTTAATTCTTAATTTGTTTTTACTTATAATTATTCTTGTTAAATAAAAACACACACAGACTATTTGGTATCGGTTTTTGTCGATTAAATGTTTTTTTTCTCCAGGAGACAGTTTATTGTCGACGAAGATCGAAAAGATACATCTGTAGTCGGTATCACTATAATTAGCTTAAGTCAATAACAAAATATATAATATGTAAAAAGCTTCTGCTTATGGGCTATTATACTTTATAGTTTATACTTTATAATTATTTAACTATACAAAATTATTATTACTAGGTAATTATTATTTATTAGTACCTATACTAGCTATTTACCAAGACAATTTTTATCAAAAATTATCATTATCGTTTATCGTAGACGGCGGTATGAGTTATCCAAATACATATTATAGTTTTGAATTAATATATAACTTTGTAGAGAAAAGTTCATTGTTATGGTTCAACTAACATGACTGATCAGAATTTTGATTATTGAACAAATCATGTTTTTATAATGCAATAAACAAATTTTTGATTATTACAAATTATTTCAGCACTAAGTGTTACTCAAATACTTTACTAATTATAGTATTTAGGTGGTATTTTAAATACTTTTAAGAGTATTTGAGTAATTACTTAAGTACTTTTAAAAAGTATTTTTTTAAAAGAGATACCACGTGCTTCACTAAACATAATAATATAAATATTTCTATATTTTTAACTCCATAATTTTTGTTAAAATATTAGGAAAATGTATTAAGTACCGCTAAAGTGTTCAATTTGAGATTTTACTTATAATATATTCATAACAAATTAGTAATTACCTATCATAGAAGGTTAGGTACTGTTATTCCACATACCTATTATAGTTTAATTTAACTAATACATTCTAGTAGAGTCTGAAAAAATTTAGTTCCACTACCTACTCTGATAATGTAAATACTTATAACCAAAAAACTAGAGGGTCTGAAATTTATTATTTATAGATCTAAATAATCCAAAACTTTCTACAAAATATAAAAATGAAGTGTAATTGAAATCAACATATATAATATACGTATATTCTAATAAATATTCAAATGTTTATTAAAGTATATAATAATAAAATGTGGGCAAGTGGGTGTCGCTCTGCTGTACAGTAGGTTACAAGTGGTTCACTGTAATGGATGGTGTTAAATTTGAATTTAATGATATAATAACATTGAATAAGAAAAACGATTCTGACCGAAGACGGTCAGATGACAGTATATTTGATGATATTATTGTGACTAAAGTAATTTATATATTTACCTTTAACCTGGAACCTTGTTTTAAATTTTCAATCCTTACCTAAAAAAGTTGAACATTTTACACATTTTTAACTACAAAATAATTATTAAATTTGAAATTTGAAAAATGTTGTCGAAATTCGAACTTTAAATGCTTATAAAAAAAAAATATGCCTATATATTTCAAATGCTATTGTAACAATATATCAGGTGCCTAGCATTAAATTTTCAGGCTTTTTTACCCAGCAAATAAAATTTTATTGGTATAGAAAAAATAACTAAAAAAATTTAAAACTGTCAATGTCCGTAAACAGCTCAAAAAGAGTCAACATATTTTCAAAATGTTATGGTGTATAGAAAATGAAAATATAAACATTCATTAAAATTTTCATGTATCTACACTCTACAGTTACTCGTTTTTGAATAACAATAAAATAAAAAAACTGCTACATGAGAAATCGAGTAAATATTCAATATTATAAAATTATGAATTTCAAACGCTCACAAAAATTTAATTTGATTTGCTTTGCTTGTACTGCTTGTAGACATTTTTTTTTTTTATAAAAGTAGACTAGACAAATTTATGAGGAATTTTGTATTACATTTTCTAATCTTAGATTTAAAAAGAAAATTTCTATGAATTCTCAACTCAAAATAATTTGCTAATTTTTGAACTTTAAATGTTTATAAATAAAAACTGTGACTTAGGACTTTTAATATTTTTCAAATTCATTGTAAAAATATAGTAAGAGCCTTGTATAGTTGTATGAAAGTTTTATTGACATTCATAGGAAAAAAACTAATAAAATTGGAAACTGAATTTGTTCCTAAACAGTTCAAAACAAATCAAATATTTTAAAAATTTTATACTGTATAGAAAATGCAAATATAAACTACCAGTGAAAATTTCATGTATATACGGTCCTTTGTTTTAAAGTTACACAAAAAATTTGTGAAAAATCGATTTTGCGTAAAAATTCACGTTTTTGCTTAATTTTTCTTTTGTTTTTCACGTCACTTTTGAAAACTATAGGGATTTTTATATTATCACCTCCCCAATGCACCAGCAATATTCAATTTCCCATCGAACAAAATTCTTAAGTTGAAAATCGGAGCATTATTTCAACTACTTATCGTGTAGACAGACACAAAAATTAAAAATTAAAAAAAACAAACATCATTGTAAAATCAATACGATCATCGTTCCACTCAGAATCTAAAATTAACTAAAGTTTAATTTAATACATTATACAAGTGTTCAAATGTACAAGTCACACCACATATTTTGTTACTTCACAGAGTCAGACAGTCTCTCTTCAATTTCAAATTATCTTCAAAATATAAATATTTAGTAAATTGGAAGACTTGATTGAGTATTTAATCATTTATCTAAAAGGAAATGCCTCAATGTTGCCTCAATAGGTCGAGGGGCCGTAGTTAAAGTGCCGTCCACCAATAAGTACCAGAAAAAAAAACGAACTCATAAATAGAAGGTATATAATATATTATAAAAGTATGATTGTGTTAGTCACAGTATGTGTAAATCATATTGTCTTGTGTTTTCCCAATCTAACTATGCAAAATACTGAAAATTAATGAAATCACAAATATTAATAGAAAAGAGAGACTGTTCCTTGATTTACAAATTTGTCTTAAATTTACTTTTCCATAGAGAATATGAAGGTGGGCTGGGCTTTTAATATCAGAGTATGGGAGACAGGGCTGGGATTTCATATTATATGAATTGATATATTTGTGGACACATGGACGACCAAAATGACTACCCTCCATATCATGTTTCAATAAGTCTAAAATAAAATTAATTGAATACG